TTTAATATAATTTTAACTATAAAACACTTTCCCATTATTAGGATATGAACAAACTCTACATAAAAGGGAAAAAAAAAAAACCATTTTATTAGACGCATTATATTACCCAAAAAAAAAATAATAATAATAACCGTGCAAAATTACAATTAACCGCTTTACTGTTTTCTTGGATTATTATCCTGCACAAATTGGTTCCCGGTCTTCCGAGTCCCACTGCATTGCTGGCTTGCTGCAAATGCCTCAAATCAATCTCTTTTTTTACCGACTTCTCCTTCTCCGTTGCTCACTCTCCCAGTTCCGTTTCTTCTCCTTCTACCCAAATTCAACATCGCTCTCTTCAATCCCTTTTTTTACAACGTACGTAAAGGAAACCCCAATGTCATCCGGAGTTCCTCTTCTTCTTATGGAGAGAATCGACTATCACATTCAATTATTTAAGGATGATTTGATTGATGTATTAGGAAGGTACGGCCATCATCCATGGATGCAGCTTGATTCTTGATTCTGACATGCAGGATTTTTCCAAGTGAGTCATGTAAATAATACCCCTAACAAATTTCGCATTGAATGTAGTCCCATTTCATCACATCTGAATGTTTTTTCAATCTCTCAGGCCAACTTTGAATTATGCATCTGCCTAGGACAACAATGCTTGATTTTCTCAATGGGATGGATGCCTTAATGCCTCAGGTAATATATGCCAATTACAATTTATTAGTTTTTATTTGTGTTCTTTCTTGTATGTCTGTGTGGGTGCAACTCAGTTAGTTAATCAATTGGAAAGAAAATTAACCATTTCTTGAGAATTGAACACCAAAAAACGTGATGCAAATTTAGAGCCATTGTGACACCTAGGTGGGGTGAGAAGTGGGTGGCAAAAGGGGATGGATACCCGCTGTTTTTGTGGAACTCATGAATAAAGAAAACTCTACTTAATTAGGCTTCTCTGCAACCTTTTTGCTTAATTTCCATTTTCAATTAAACTGACTGATTCTGATTCTATCTCTATATCATCATAGGGACTAGTAAGTAGTAACTAGAAAGGTTTGTGGAGTTGGTTTTCATTTTAGCATCATCTTCTTCAGTTGCATATGGATATATTTAGAAGGGCCTAGGAGGCATTTCTAAACTTTCAAGATCTGCTTCAAGCATCTCCACCACTTTGTTCATCGAAGCACGGTCACTTGGTTTCACCTATATACACCACCAATCCACAATGATCATTTTCTTAGCTATTCTCTTTTCATCTTCCGTGGCTCCTCTTATTCCCTGCTCCATTCCTTTATTCAATTGTTGAGAAACCCATGTAGGAAAGTAAATTTGACTTGAATGCTCTACATGTGGGTTTAAACTCCTTCTCCTGCTAGCTGTTTCCATCAACAACATTCCAAAGCTATAGACATCAGCCTTGTGTGAGACACCTCTAATTTTCCTCTAGACCAACTTAGGCGCCATGTATCCTAGCGTTCCTCTTCCTGCAGTTAGGGACATGATGCTATCTTTTGTTGAATATAATTTTGCAAGACCAAAATTAGATATTTTTGGGATGAAGTTATTGTCTAAAAGAATGTTGTAAGATTTAATGTCAAAACGTTAGATTCGCATATCACAGCCTTGGTGTAAATAATCAATCCCATAAGCCACTCCTAGAGAAATCTTGTATAGTCTTTCCCAGCCCACGGTTGTACTTTCTTCCCTAGTAAAAATGTATTTATCAAGAGAACTATTAGGCATGAAGCCATACACGAGCGTGGTTTGAACCCTTTGCACAAAAGCCAATAAGTTTTACCACATTGACATGGTGAAATCTCCCAATTGTTGCTACTTCACTGAAATAATCTTGGTTTGTGACTTTGGATTTGACCAATAACTTGACTGCAGCAAGACCACCACTCTTAAGCCTTGCTTTATAAACCTTGCCGAAACCTACTTCCCCTAGTTTTGCCTTAGAGCCATTTGTCATCTTCTTGATATCTGAGTAAGAATACCTTACTGACATAAGGTTATTGTGACCTTGCAAGAATTCTTCAATAGAATCATACACAGATAAATGCCTTCTCTGCCATTTATATAACAGAAACAGGATGAAGCTTGGAATTGCAGGAGCAGATGCTACCCCATGAAGTACACCTGTGAGTATAAAAAGATATTTATTGATATAATTGGTTATGAAATAAAGTATCCGATAAATATTGCCTGCTTCTCCTGGAGTTCTTAATATTTTTTTCTTATAATCTCATCAAATGTACTTGAATTTTTCATGCTTCATGATTCAAGACGGTGCAACGTGGATAAATGAAAAACAATAGCTCCAGAAGAGAAAGGTTCTAATTACCTAATATGAGTGCTGTGTAGAATAAATAAGTGTAATGCATGACCAAAACTGCAAAAGATACCATATACCAAAATCAGAGAGAAGCAAGACATTGAATTTGCATACAGTTCATTTAAAAAAAAAAGGAACCAAAATTAGCGAGTTGCATTTGCATGTGTTTAATCAACGGGCAACATATGTTCATTATGTACCAATCCATATAGAAGGGCAGGGAAACCACCAAAGCTCAAAATCCATATGTGAAGATCTAGGTAGGTAATGTTATTATCACTCTTCTCTCTTGAAGAACAAAGAACCATCAGCTCAATCTGGCATGACTTCTGTAATTCAAATGCTGTTGTTCTTCCAATCTTAGCATGATAATACCTTTTTAGACTTGGATGAATTAGTAGCATCAATGCAAGAGGAAGCATCCACATAGCAAATATCATTTACTGGTTTCCCACAGTTTAGGAAATGATGAGCTTCTCCAGGATGAAAGTAATATGGATTGCTGTCTATTGTGACCTTATCAATGCCAAGGGAATAGAGAGGTAGTGAAGAATAGTTACCTTGATTAACATCAGGATCCACAACTTTGATCATTGAGTGATTATAATCGATTTCCTGCACATAGAATTTTCCCGAATTAGGGTGTAAAACTGTGACAGTGTTCAAGCAAAATTGATGAGAATCAAGATGACAGCACACATATGACATCAAGTGAACCATTGTATATTCATGGAAGTCTGTTAACAAAAGCTAGAGTTAAAAAGATACAAAAAGCTGTAAATGCGCTTATTGAGGAGATTTAGGCTAAAAGTAATGCACAACAAGTGAATCAGAACTTGAAGCATTGTTAAGATTTAGTAAACATTTTTTAAGTCCAAGAACAACTTATTTGAGGTCATTTTGACTAAATTACACAGTTTGGATCGAAATCACTCAATTCGACCACAAATGCACACTTTTGTTACAATGTCGCGAACTGATATTTTGCATTATTTTAAGTTGTTTTGAACGATTTGTATGTTATTTTCACTTAAATTTGTGTTTTTTATGAGTTATTTGGGCTAAAAAT